GGCTTTGACTTGTCAGCGCACGAGTTGTGTGCTTCTGTTGCTATGTGACTCCTAGCATGACGCTGAAACCTACTTTACTCCAACACTCGTGTGTCGGTGTGGCACGCGGGAGGAAGAACAGCACGATCAGCCTTTATCAGCCGGCTTTATTCTGCCTCCTAATTCTGTGGTTAGCAGAACTTCTGGGCTTGTGTCTGACCATCTATGGTACAGAGAAGTAGCTTCCTCTTAGAGTTCTGAAGCGTAAGTAAGCTCATCTGTATAGCAGGCTACAAAATGCGAAGCCGCCACTGGTGTGACCCTGGCACCATCACCCTCACCATCGAGGCAGCAGCGTTACAAATCTTCTCTTCTGCTTTGACCTCTAATCTGCTGAAAATCCACAAAACAAAAAGCAGAAGCCAGCTGCTTCACATTCTTGCTAGGGGAGCTGCATTTTAAAAAAAAAATCTTAGGCTGAATCTGGTTCTTCCAGTAAATTAGAGTGAATGGCAAAAATGTTGCCAATGATATCACTAAGGGCTTTGAGTGCAGATGGAGTAATAATGATGGGAATAAAAACAAAGAATGGAAAAAAAATGTCTCTGAATCCAAGGTCACTTGGCATCGGGAGCAAGGAAATTTCCAGCGGCAGCTGCTGCAGACCGCAGCGAGGACAGCCCTGCAACTTTCTAGCGTACACGGTCCTACCAGGAGCGCCAGCTGGCTTGATGGGATTCTCCAGCCTAATTTTGTTTCATCTGGAGCCTGGAGCATGCAGATCTTACATTTCTTACAAATAAGCCAACAGAGTTGAGGATGTTAAATAAAGGGAAAGAACCTATGAGTGTCATTTAGGGGGGAAAGAAGCACCTCGGTGCAGAACCCAGTAGGCTTGGAAGCTCCATTTTCAGCAGACAGGAGCAGCAATTGGAACTAGAACTCCAGGCCACCAGGAGACAAGTGTCTAAGAAGTAAGTACTCTATAGGGCTGGCCAGATAGCTCAGTGGATTAAAGCACCTGCTTAGGCAAACACAGGGGCCGGGGGTTCGATCCCCAGCCTGTTGTACCAGCCCTGACCCTGTGGCACCCCGAGACAGCGACTGAGACTGGTTATGGTGGCACACACCCGTATTCCCAGTGCTTGGGAGGCTGAAAAACAGGAAGGATGAAAACCAAGTCTGATCTGTGTAGTGAGACCCTGGAAGCCCTGTACTAAATACATTAAAAAAAAAAAAGAAAAGAAAAGAAAAGAAAGAAGTGCTCTCAACTTTGTCAGCCTTTGAGTACCTCAGAGGCTTGGCTTAGGCTGTTTTTAGAAGACTTTAAAGCATCTATTTCTGATCTTAATCTAACCACTGTCAACAAGAGAGGGACAGGAAATGCTGGTGGACATGAACATGGAGCTTATGAGTCATCACACAAAAACGTAGGGCCTAAGAGCTCAGTTCTGCGCCATGACTCGGTCCTGAGCTTAGCCTCCTGTGCTCACCAGAACAGCCGGTGTGGCTGCACAGGGCACGCAGGCTGTTATGGACTGTCCTGTCTTCCCCAAAAGATGTGCTGGATCCTAACTTCCAGTACCTCAGAACTGATCTTATTTGGAGAGATGCAGCAGAGAGAATCCAGTAAGAAGGAAGTTTTCAGGGTGGGCTCTGACCCAGTGTGACTGGTGTCTGTAAACAACAAGGGCATTTGGGCACAGACATGTACAAAGGAATGCCAGGGGCAGATGCAGGCATGGGTTGACTGATTTGTTTGCAAGCTGAGGAGCCAGCTTGTAAAAAGCTGCCAGACCTGGTGAGCAGGCATGGGACACTTTCTCTCTAAGCTTGCTCTCAGGCCTCAGCCTCCACATCTGGGGGACAACAAATGTCATGGTCAAGCTTTCTAAACTGTAGCATTTGTTACAGAGCCCTACAGAATGGATCCAGAGGATCCCACTATAGGAGACACTAGGTTTTTCCTTTTTTTGGCAGAACCGGGGATTGAACTCAGGTGACCATAACCAGGCGGGATAGCAAGGACAAGGGACAGCAGCTAGGACAGCATCTCTCTGCTTCTTTCTCCGAAGCTGCTCTAGAATCTAGCTCTGTCATAGGCTTCAATGTATGTACAATGAAGATAGCAAAAACAGCCTACTAAGTGTGAGAATAAACAGCAGAGTGGCATGGCAGGTGGGGTGAGATAAAACTACAGAAGTACTCTTTTCTCTAAATAATTTGGAAAGCACTTAGTGATTCCCAGGAAAGTTACAAGGAGGGTGGGCAGGCTTTGCTTTCTTTCTGCCATTTCTCCAGTCTTCTTTTCCTTAGCCTTTAGCCAATCAAGTGCTATGTGCTGAACTAGTTTACATATGTTTTGGACTCTATGAGTTAGGGAAGATTAGATTACTGTCTTCAAAATGCTTAAAATCTCAAAGGAAAGCTAAGTGTCTTTGCTTTCTGTTGCTATAACAAAATATCTGAGGCTGGGATTTTATAAAGTAAAGAGCTTTGTGTGGCTCGTGACTGGTGGCAGGAGGATTCAAACACAGAAGAGCCTCCTGGGTGCAGCACAACATGGTGAATGGGCAGAAAGAGTATGGGCCATGTGCAAAAGGGAGAGAGGCCATGTGTCAAAATAGGAAGGAAGAAATCTGACAGGGCCAGGCTGGATAATTTTTGTTTATAACAGCTTGCCTTTGGAGAATTAACCTACTCTTAGTAGAACTGGCTAACTGTCTTAGTCACTGTCCTCACTGCGGGGCTAACCCACCACCTGCAACTTGAAGGAGGAGAGCTTCGTTTTGGCTCATGACTTGCAGTGGTTCCAGCCCATAATTGGCTGGTTCCTAGGCAGGGCAGCCTGGCAGAGGGGCCAGTGGAGGACAACTGCTCACCCAGCGTGTCTAGGGAGCAGAGAGAGAGAAGGGAGGAGGTTGGGAAAGCTAATTGCTGCTGTCACTCTGGTGGTCTCTACACCGCCCTGTGTCTCTTCTACAGAACTGAAAAGCCAACAATGAAGAATTTAGCTTAGTTCATGACTTCAAAGTCAGTGTTTCTAAAGTATTATAAGACTGAGGCCCTTGAGCAAGATTTAGTAGCTGTCTGTTATTATATTTAGGAAGTTTTCTTCTAAGTTTTTTCAGATTTTTTTGAAAAAGTTATGAATATAATTAAATTTTATCAAGTATCTCTTTTTAAAAATCTGCCGGAGATTTTTTTTCTCCTATACTTTCAATAGGCTCAGTGAGATGAATAGTTTTTATGATGTTGAATCATTCCTCTTAGGGAAATTCCAGTGGGTCACAATGGGTATTGTCCCCTGTGATGAGTGACAGTGATGTTTTGTAAGAATGACTGCTCAGCAAGATCTTCCATCTCGCTTGCTCTTCCAGCAGTACGGCTTCTTACTTCTTCCTTTTGAGAGTTGGGCCGGTGGGAAAGCTAAAATCCACCGGATTTGGGGTGTGCCATGGCTGTGGTCCCGGCCGTAAGAGACGAGGCTGCTTCTGCCGCTTGTCTGGAGCTGTGTGCTCTTGGATTCCAGCCATCATGAGGTCAGGAAATCCCCAGATCCTGCTGAGACTCACTCGGAGGAGCTCCGTGGTCGGCAGCTACAGCTGGGACACAGCCCACGTGGCAGCTGATGGGGCACCATCTTGAAAACTGATTCTTCAGTCCCCAGGAAGGCTACTTCTGGTAGTTGACAGCAAATATGAGCAGCGTGCAGCAGCTGCCGCCCTCAGCTAACATCACAGCCTTGTAAGCAAAGTAAGATATGGAAGTCATGTTAAGCCACTAAGTGTGGAGATGGTTGTTATAACTGACACATGATAATTGATTTTGTTTGCTGACATTTTAATATTTTTGCATCCGCTTCCATAAGGAAAAGCCACTAACATTTTTTCTGCTGTCTTTGAAGTTTGATTTTCGTGTCAAAGCCACAGCATGCTTTCAAATAGAGCTAGGATGTGTTCTTATTTTTATTTTTTTTTTCTCATCTCTGACAGTGGCTAGGGGAGTTTGAAATTTTTGTTTTTTAATGTTTGATTTTAAAAAACCCTTTGAATAAAAAGTGTTAGGGCTTATGCATTTTTGCTCACTGGGAAGTTATGGAAAGGATGGTCTCTATTCTAATTTCCTTAGTTAATTTAATTTTTGGATTTTCTCAGAAATTCTTCATATCCTTAATGCTTTCAAAATTGTGAATATCCCCACAAGTTTTGCTGTGACTAAGTTGGGTCTCCTCACTTGTCAATAAGCATTTTCTCTTCCCTCTGGTTCCTTGCTCAGACTCCACCAGCTTTACCTTAAAGTTCACCTTGCTAGCTTCTAATGTCAGCTGAAGAAGACCAAACGAACTAGTTTCTATTTTTGTTAATGACTCTCCTCCCCTGGTACTGAAGATTGAACATGGGACTACCGCCACACTCTATCATCTATTTATCTACCTATCTATCACTTATCTACTATCTATCATCTATCAGTCATCTATTTATCTATCACTCATCTATCAATGTGTCATCTATCTATCATTTATCTACTATCTATCATCTATCTGTTTATGATCTATTGGTCATCTATCTAATCAATCACCTATCAGTCTATCATCTACCTATCATTCATCTATCTATCTATCTATCTATCTATCTATCTATCTATCTATCTATCATCTATCTATCTATCTATGTAGACATAGGGTCTTGCTAGGTTGCCAATTGTCCTGGCTGGGCTCTAATTTACAATCCTGCCTCACATCCTACTCGGCTCATTACCATCAGTAAATATTTGTATTTGGAGTGTGTGATTTTTTTCTTTTACTTTTAAAAATTAACCTTTAGCTTACTACTTCCCAGCTGTTTGCGGTGGTGACCACAGAGCAGACCCTGCGCCCGCCCACGCAGCCTCAGGCCCCGCCCATGCAGCATCAGGCCCCGCCCACGCAGCCTCAGGCCCCGCCCACTCGCCCCGCCCAGTCTCCGCCCCCTGCACGCGCCCCGCCCCCGGGGCCGGCTGTCCCGGACGGAAGCGGAAGTGGTCTCGGTCCAGGCGGAAGCAGGAAGCGGGCGAGCGGGGAGCGGGCTGGCTGGCAGCTTTCCGGACGCGGCTGCGGAGCAGGGGTGGCGCCGGGCAGATGGCGGAGAAGTTTGACCACCTGGAGGAGCACCTGGAGAAGTTCGTGGAGAACATCCGGCAGCTCGGCATCATCGTCAGCGACTTCCAGCCCAGCAGCCAGACCGGGCTCAACCAGAAGCTGTGAGTGCCGCCGCCGGCCCCGTCTCCGCCCGCAGCCGCCCCGGGGCTGGGAGGGAGTGCGCGGGCGCGCCGGGGCTCGGGGCTGTGCGCCCGCGGGCTGGCCGCGCCTTCTGCTGGGGCTGGCCTGCGGGAGGCCCTGCGGTGGGGAAGGCGGAGATGGAGGGGGCCGCTCAAAAGGCGGTGTGCGTTTAAAATGTTACGCGTTTATTGCAGTAAAAGCCATTGCTTTAAATCCTCAGAGTACCGCCTTTGGCCTCTGACCCGCTCGCCCCGACGCTCCTGCCGCTTTCTGAAGCAGCGTAGATTAAAAAAAAAATCACCCCAGTATTCACCATATTTATTAATCACGTTCATGTACAGAATGCTCTGGACAGGGCTCCCACTTTTCTTGAGGGGGGATGTGCAGGTAGTTGCGTCTAGGGCTGCGCCCAGCAGTGCAGAGGCGTGACCAGGGTCCGGCTGCTGGGTGGTCTCACACGGCCAGGGAGGCGGCCGAAGGTAAGCCGGCAGGCAGTTTCTCTTCTGCGGGGCGTGCAGCTGGTGTTAAGCAGAAGCCTGCTGCTTCGCCGGACCCCGTTCAAAGTCACAGCAGGACCGGATCCATGTTTGGGACAGGTTCCGATTTTCATTGCGGTCCCCAAAAGTTGCCCATCCCCCATATCGGCAGTCTCTAGTTTAGAAGGAAAGTCGACCGTTTGCGGGTACTGCCTTTCACGCTCCACCTGTGTGAGTCGTGCGCCGCCCGTGTAGGTGTTGTTAGGACGCTCGTGTGGTCAGGAGGTGGCCAGGTGAGGGTGTGTACGCGGCCATGTGCGTTAACCCAGCGCCCCGTTGTGCCTTTCTCCCAGGAACTTCATCGTCACTGGTTTACAGGACATAGATAAGTGCAGACAGCAGCTTCACGACATCACTGTCCCGCTAGAAGTGTTTGAGTAAGTATCTCCCGGGCTGTTAATCTGGAGCGCAGTGCTCGCTGTGTGTAGGGGACGTCGCCCAGGGCGGTGGTGGCCGACCTGGGGCATGGTGGTTTTCTTTTAGGACACAGAAGGTCACGCGTGTTTTTCTAATACCTTGATTTTCAGGCTTAATTGCAGTATTGGAATGTGGGGATAAATAAGTGGGTTTTGGGCTGCAGTGCGGGCATTTGTCTCTAAAAGGTTCATTCCCACCAGTGGGAAAAGTAGACTAAAATACCCACCCTTCTGAAACTCAGTGTACTAATAATAATGGCATTAAAAAATGAAGTGAACAAAAGTTATGACAGTGTTTTGTTGCTAAAATGTCACATGCAAGTAAAAGTGTATTAAACGTGTGTAAAACACCATAGGGTCTCAAGTCCTGTGAAAAAGCACTTAGGCTAAAAAACAATCATGTAACCTTGCTTTTTCCCGGAGAGGTAAAAAGTTGAATTTAGGCCATGTTATAAATTTTAAAAAGGATGTGACTGCTAGACACGCCTGGGAAGCGGCATGGCGTGGTGTGGCGTTCTCCACGTGTGAGCTGGGGAGAGGGTGCTGCTGGGCGGGAGAGAGGTTCCGGTGCCGGCTTCCGCAGGCTGCACAGCGCTTCCGCCTGGAGGGTCTTGGCCCTGTGCCGCATCCCAGGGCGCTGCGGACAGTGAATGTCTGGGTTCCATTGTCTCACTGTTGTGGCCGCGTCGTGGTTTCTTGGAGAAAGGACTGAGGAGTGATTGCAGTGGGCTGCCCGGCTGCTGTGGGGCAGGTAAGGCTGAAGCCCGGGACTCAGCCCAGCTCTCTCCTGTCCACTGTGCGGCACAGCCTGGTCCTCCTGGCTCCAAGCACGAGGACCTTCCAGTGTGCCTTGCAGTGAGGCTTGCACTGGATTTCCTCACACATACAGGGAAAGCTGTGCTGTGCTTCTCACCGAGAGGCAGAGGTGTAAGCCCTATCAGAACCTGGCCCTGGCGCCTGCCAAGGCGGCGTGCACAGGCTGTCCTGTTCATGGTCTCTGCTACTCCCTCTGCCTGCTCACACCACCCTGCGCCCTCTTCATTCTCCATCAGTGCCACTGAGGCCTCCACCACACAGCTGGCACCCCACGGGTGGGCGCGGAGGTGGGGCACATGTGGCACCATTCCGGGCCCTCAGGCCGCAGCAGGGGCAGAAGGGATCTTCCATAGTGCTGCTCGCCATGACTGCATGGGGTGGGCATAGGGCAAGGAAGGTCTGGTAGCTCAGGTGTTCTGTAGTGGGGTGGGTGGAAGGGGGCCGAGGGCAGGGGATGGCACAGGGCCCCAGGGCAGCGCGGGGCAGGGGAGGGAGGGGAGGTTGATCTGGAGTCTTGGCTACGGGCCCTGGGTAGCGTGTGCTGGTTTATCTGTACACTGCCCGATAGTGTGGGCACAGAGGATGTGCTGGGTCCCCAGCGGCCTTGGCATGGAGACTGAAGTAAAGATAGAAATATAGCTGGGCCCTCCCTCGGCCCTCGGGGTGGTGCTGGCGGAGGTGGGGCCGTCCTTGGTCTGCAGGAGTCCACCTGGTGCAAGGACCTCGCTGCAGAGAAGGACACACGCAGCATGAGCTTGTCTGGTATTTCTTTTCTGAAACATGGTTGGATTTTATTGTATTTATTTATTATGTATTTAGTACAGGGTCTACAGGGCCTCAGTATGTAGACTGGACTCATAGTGATCCTCCTGTTTTCAGCTTCCCAAGTGCTGGGATTACAGGCGCGCGCCACCACGCCTCGTCTCAGTTGCCATCTCAGCACGCCCCAGGGGCGGGGGCGGCGTGGCAGTCTGGGGATCTAAATGTGGCCTCTGCGCTCTGCCTAAGCAGGTGCTTTAGTCTGCTGAGCTCTCTGCCCAGCCCCTAGATTTTATTTTAGATTTAAAGATAATTTTGTTTCTTTTCTAAACATTATAATAAAATGGAATTTTCTCCAAGATGTTTATGTTTTGCTGTCAGCTTTTATACCATTACAGCCACTTAGTGGTACTATTGACCCAAAGTTAGGTATTTTTTTGTCCTAGTTTTAAGTAGATAGGACAGGGTAAGTGTGGTGTGTTTTTATCTCTCTGTAATGAATAATTCAACTCAGCTAAATGATACACTTCCTTATATGCAGGAATGGGCAGGTGCCTGTCTGTAAAATTTGGGCATTGGTGTAGGTGGTATGATTCATGGAATCCTTAGTAGGGTAACGGTGATATTTTCGGGAGAAGGGCTGAACACGTCGGGGCCAGTCTTGTACCATTTGAAGTAATGAGAGAATCTCCTGTGTTTCAGCTACTTAGTATGTGTAGTAAAAAGCAGTACTGAGCACGTTCATTGAGCTGTTGCCTGTTTGTAGGTACATCGATCAAGGTCGGAACCCCCAGCTCTACACCAAGGAGTGCCTGGAGAGGGCGCTAGCCAAAAACGAGCAAGTTAAAGGCAAAATCGACACCATGAAGGTGAGCCTCCTAAGGAGCCAGTGCAGTCAGGACGGCACACATGGAGGTCTCCCCCGGCCTGCTGCCCTGTCCTGCTTGTGGGGCACGGACTGTTCAAACATGTCGTGCTTGCATAAGTGAGCAGGCTTGTCGTTGGGAAGGCCCGGGTTAACTTTGGCGGTTGTGGTCACCTCCAGCTAAGTGTGGCTGTTCGCAGTTGAGACTGTCCAGGCTGAACTGTGCCCGTGACAGCACCCCTGCGTCTGCTTCCTTCTGCGCTGGTTCTCCCGGAGGCCTCTCCTGGGTCACGGCCCTTTGCTTTGTTAGAGGATTCCGAAGTATCTACTTTGCTGTCTTTATCCTGTTGCTGTCTCTGACTCCTGACCTCCACACTCCTCCTCATGTTCCTTACTACCACAAGACTCTAGAGAGCTTTTTTTTTTTTTCCTTTTTGCCTTGATGGCATTTATTTAGTGATCTCTCCATCTTGCACATACATATGCATTTTCACCTGTGTACATCAGCCGGACTGTGGCTCCCAGTGCTGTTTTATTTGGTCCTTCCTGGCCTCACTTTTGTCGTGTGGCCTCTGTGCCCGATGCAGCCTGCTCTGCTTGGCCTGGCCCCCAGCATGCTGTTTGCCCTGTGCCTTGCTTCCCCTGTGCTGTGTCTCCCGCCTGGAGCCCTCTGTCCCTGCGCACCATGCCCCTCGCCTCGGGCTCGCTGCCTCTGAGCACACTGGCTGGGCCCTTGGTGCTCTCCTTTGCGCTTGTCCTCTGCCTGTGGGTTCCGCTCCAGGACCAGGCAGCTGCTGTTCTGTTCCCAGGTTTGTGCAGCGTGGCCCTGGGGCCAGCCTGGCACGAGGCCTCAGGCGCTTTGGCAGGAGGCGTGAAGGGCGGGCCCTGGGGCCGCAGCGAGAGCAGGTCCACTCGGGTGCTCTGCGAGTTGTTTGCCAAGCTGTTCACGTGCACTGAATTTGACGTGGTTCCCGTGACTGCTTTATTAAGTGTGACTGGAAATTGCTGTTCCGTGTGTGCCGTGTGTAGCAGCCCTGCCACCTGTGTGGCCGGCTTGCAAGGGTGCTTGTTTTCCTGGCAGGCAGCAGAAGTGGTGCAGGTGAGGGCCTCCGGCTGGTGGCAGTGCCCTGTGCTGTGGCTGCACACACGCTTCCATGACTGTCCCCTTGCCCTGCACGCACGGAACGAGCGGGCGCATCTGGAGAGGAGGGAGCCTGGTGTTTGCTCTTCTGTGGGGCAGGCTGCCCTGAATTTTGAAGGCCCTTTGGGGGCATGGTGGGTCTCATGTGAATGTGCTGATGGTGTGTTTTTTTTCTTTGCAGAAATTTAAAAGCCTGTTGATTCAAGAGCTTTCTAAAGTTTTTCCAGAAGACATGGCGAAGTACCGAAGCATCCGGGGGGAGGATCACCCGCCGTCCTAAGTGCGACACCTCAGATCCTTGTGATGCTCGGGATGGAGCCAATGAGGCCTGTGACTGTCAGCACTAACCCTCCTTGCCCATGAGGACTGGCCTGGGACTGTGTCCTTCTGACCCAGTGGGTGGCTGAGCTGGCGGAGCCAAGGAGCTGTGACCTCAGATGGGAGGTCCCAGGTCCTTGGGGAGACAGAACATGGAACGGTTTTGGAAATACTAAATACGATCGATTAGTTGAAAGCTGAAAAAATTCCACTTGAATTTTTATATGTGTTCTTTCTGTTCCATTCTACTGTGGCATTAGAAAGCTAATAAACTGATTTTGTATTTTACATTTTCAAGTGTGCATAAAGATTATGTACTGTGTTTTTGCAGTTTCACTTAGATATGGGTGAAGTCTTAAGCTTGTAGGGCTCATTCCATGTAATTATTGTCATTTTTACAAGACAGTACAGCATATATAATTCATTGCCCAAAGTATTAGTAATAAGGCTTTATAGGCATTTGAGAAGGAAAAGCTAGTGCAAAACAGAGTGTTTTTGTTTTCTCCTACATCGCTCTGGAGGGCCTGAGAAGTACTGAGGGCCACGGCCTTATCTGTTGCCATGGGCTCTTGGGGGGCAGAAGAGGCCCCCAGACTGCTGCGTCACAGCTTCAGGGCGCGCCGGGCGCAGGGGCAGTGAGCTGCAGCACCTGCCTCGGCCGTGGTCGCAGAGCTCCCCTCGCCAGCCCCGTGGAGCCCTGCCTGGTTCTTTGGAGGGTGGAGCCCAGTTCACACTGAGGAGCCAGGCAGGGATGGACAGGCAGGAGCCCACGTGGTTCCCTTCTTCCTCTCCGTGACCCGGGCAGCGCCCAGCCCAGCTGGTTCAGATAGATGGCCGCCTCCCAGCTGAGGAGGCTGGAACCAAGGCCCTGCTCAGCTCGGCGCAGATGGGGTCCTTGCTCTGTTTCTGCTGGCACAGAAAGGAAAGCTGTAGCTCAGGTCGTGCCACTTGGCGGAGTGCTGCGAGGGCTTCAAATGAAGGAACTGCGTGTGTGCAGTGGGTGGTGAGGACATGGTCCCGCTGCCTATGACCTAGCACTCGGGCAGAGGCAGGAAAATCCCAGGTTTGAGCTTGGCCTGGGAACTTTGTAACTTAGACCTTGTCTTGAAAAAAAGGTCGGGGGACAGCTCTGGAAAGGCCTGGCCCATCCCCACTGCCACCCTAAATAAGTAGCCGAAACCCCCCAACAGTGATTGTCCAGGGAATGCGAATGGATGTGCTGAGAACTGTATGAGGTTCCCGCAGACTAGCCCAGCGGCGGGTGCACGTGCCAGGCGGGCCCTCCCCAGCGGCTGCCTAGTGCCCTCTCCTCTTTTCTGCAGCCATACTCTCCTCGGCCTCAACAGACTTGGCTTCCTCAGCAGGCGGCCTGCCTGGCCCTACCCTGGCAGGCTCGTCTGTCTCCTGGACCCAGGCACAGTCTTGGGCCGAGATCCTGGGTTCACACTGCCCTGCCGTCCAGTCTGGCCTATCACGACCCAACTTACGGTTTCAGTTCATGTGCCTGCTCATAGGAGCCTCCGGCACAGCACCTTAGAACTGAACCACCCTCTTTGCCCCACCTCCTCTCATCCCCCAGCAAATGGTGCCACCTTGTTGTCGCACCATCCTTGCTTCCACTGTCCCTTCCTCTTCGGTCCTTGCAATGCAGCCATGGGTACGTTTCCTGAAATTCCCATTTTGCCCTTTCCCCGCCTCACCAACCCTCCGGGCCTCTCAGCTCAGGTCTGTGTATGAATGCCTCGTGGATGCCTGCATCGCACCTCACCCCCTTGGCCTGGCCTCTTGGCACTCAGGCTGTGCGGTGAAAGGCTCTGCTGACAAGGAAAAGGTTTTCCCTCAAAATCTCCCTCCAAGAGGACAGCAGCCGTGCCGGCACCTTGATATCAGGGTTCCCCAGCTGTACAGAAATGCATTCCCATCGTTCGGTGTGTGGTAACCTGTTAGAGCAGTGACGAGAAAGGAATGCCTTGCCTGTTCGAACGGGTAAGGAACGGCATAGAAGAGGCCATCTGCGTACTGCTTTTATGAGTTTAGTTGTGCTGTCCTAGCTGCCTCAATGTCCTGAATTGATTCAAAATGTTTTCATTTCATGTTCATTTTGACTGAAAAAGAGCCAGAATTAGTGTGGTTCCAGGTTCAGCGAATGAAGTGGGTGAGGACCCGCTCTTACTTGTTTTACCCATCTGCCTTTCCATTGAGCGAGACTTGGGACCATTGTTCACCTAATTTTTGATCATGAACACACTCAGGGAAGAGGAGTGGCCAGAAGGATGGGCCATGTTGTGTGTTCTAGGTAAGGGGGAGTGAGGGCCGGTCAGAGAGCTCACCAGATTAAAGCGCCTGTAAGCAGGAGCAGGGACTGGTGGTTCATCTCCTGGCTTGCTGTGCAAGCAATTGAGATTGGGCTTGGTGGCACGCACCTGTCGTCCCAGCTCATGGGAGGCTGTAAACAGGAGAATCACTCTGAGTCTGATCTAGTAGTGAGACCCTGAGCGCCCTGTAGACCCTTCCCTAAAATACAGGAAGAAAAAGTGAGGGGGAGTGTTTTAAGGGCAGCTAAGACAATATATCTTTTACTATAATGAAATTTTTGAACTTCAACCTCACTGTATTTTGTGTGTGTGTGTGGGGGGGGGGGCTTAGGTCGTGACTCCTCTGCTGGTTGGCTAGATGACTCCCCTAGCAACAATATGGACGTTTATTTATACCTCTGCCAAGTTGGTAACGTGGCACAAGGTAGCCTAGTGACTAATAGCCTGTGTTAACCCATCGGGGTGCTTATCTCAGGACTGAGGTAGCTTGTTTGCGCAGGGCACTGAGGCCTAGTCCAGTCCCACTTGCACACATTTGACCAGTTTCCCAGCAACCGTGGCTCCCAGCGTAACACCCTTTTCTGTTTTACTGTGTGAGTGTTGTTCTGTTGCTGTTGCAGAAGCCGCGTTTGGAGAACTCTTTAGAGCACCTTTTCATACCTGATGCCAGTGCAAAGATTTTAGGTACCTGAATTCAGCAATGTAACCCTATGGAGTCCAATAGTCCATAATAGTAGTGAGTTATCAGCACAGCTGGTAACTGTGAGCTTGTGAGTTCAGCCTTCTACTTAGCACATTAATACAGCATTATGCTTCACGTCTTGTGCTTACACTTTTCTGCTGGATGGTTAAGACCAAGTTAAAGCAAGACCTGTATAAATGCAAATTTAACTTTTGCTATCTGACAAGGTCAGTTAATCTCCCCGGGATGTCCCTTGGAAACATGTACAGCATCTCTTAGATTTTCTGTCAGCATCAGCCATCTGGATGTGTCACAGCCATTGCTCGGCCAGTTTGCTCTCTGTGAAAGCCTGAGAGATGTTTTTCTCTAGGTGACTCTCCTTAGGCACACCGCACTTCGCTGTATTTGTTGGCCACCACTGGTATAGTTGCCCTGTTTAGTGCTGCCACTTGCAGCCTAGTTGCCATAGCCCCGTCCAGCCTGACACCTCGCGGCACGGGACCTCAGAAGCAAAACCATTGTCCCAAAAACAGTGTGCAGAGGACGTGCTGGGAGTGAACCAACACGCTAGAGATCTCACGTGCTGCTTTTGGTGAGCGTTTTCATTGCTCTCTGGTCGGAAGTTCGGAAGACAGTGATTGTTCTCAGGAGGAGCCCTTGGCCAAGGAGGAATGGACAGCTGAGAGTTCCTGGGTGCCACGGTGGGTTTCCAGGGCTGCTGTAGAAATCCCCGCCCACTGGGGGTGGGTGAAGCAGCCCAGGTTTGCCCACACCCCAGCCTGGGGGCCAGGACTGCGGTGTGATCAGCCTCCACCAGGGCCCCAGGCTGCCCTTCCTCCTCTTTTGGCTCCAGTGGCTCTTCCCTATGAACTCTCTAGATGTTTCTTAAGGCTGCCCTCAGATTCCAGGTGAACAAAGCCTTTCAGGGCCCACCATCTAGCCCACCACATGGCCGTCCAGTCACCAGGCACCTCTCCTGGGTCGGGAGGCTTGCTAGGCTGGGCTAGGTCTCAGCCTGTGTTCCCAGGCCCACTGCAGCTGAGCTGCTGCCCGTGCGGTGCTCCTGCCCTCCCAGACACAGGTGGCCCATGAGTTGCAAGAGACGATCAAGCCTGGCCGAAACACTGCTGTCATGCCTGTCTGCACAGAGACAGGAGAAATTATTTGACTTCTGTCTCATGCCTCAAGCTAAAGGGGACAATACTGTGGGTGGCAGCAGGAGCTGAGAAAGCAGGAGTCCTGGTGACAGCCTTGAAAAAGCTTCATTGTTGCAAACTTGCTTCAGGAAAAGCTTCATTGTTGCAAACTTGCTGAGGGCAGGAGGGGGGTGGGGATGTGCAGTGACAGATAGTGCAGGAGGGAGCCACCAGCGAGGACTGCTGGGCACCTGCAGTGTCCATCGGGGAGACCACGAGAAGGGATGTGTGTGCTCACTGAAGTGTAAGCAGCCTAGGAATGGAATGAAGGTATTGGTCCTGGTCTGGGGGCCATTGCTGGCTGCACTGACTTCGGGGACACAGACCACTCTGCTGTACTGTACAGAGGCAGAGCCTCCCTCAGCAAGGTGAACAGTAGAACAGACAGTCCTACTCCTGCAGAGCAGCAGCCGGGGCTCCAGGCTGGCTGATGGCTGTGGCAGACCAAAGGGCAGGCATCATACAGTGTACGGCCCATTAGCCCTGGGCTGTGTCTTTTCACCCTGAAGGCTTTGTGCTTGCTGCTCTCATGAGCTTCCTGGGCTGCTGTGTCAGAAGGCATACCACACATTTCAGCATGGTATGGGAGCTCCAGAGCTGAAACCCAGCCTACAAACCACACCTCCACCCAATCCTCAGTTGAGCCATTTAGGGGTAACCTACTCCCCAGGTATTTGCAGTTTGGGGCTGCTCCTTCCCCTTGGGGGTCTTTGCAGTATGAAGCTTCAGAACAGGATCGTTCAGTTGTCCCACAAGCCTATCACCATCTGCAGTTCTACCATTGCAGGGCTTGGCTTTTGAAGTGGACTTGTCAACCCCAAGGGGTGCTGGTAGGAGGGGACAGTAGTCACTCTGATAGGTCAAGGTCCCTCCCACCAGCTCCATGGAGAGTTCTTCATGTTATCCACATGGCCAAAAGACTTGGTCAGCAGGTCACCAACCATGAGGTCCTGTGAGTGGGTGTGATAGGCGTGGCCTCCTCAGGCCAGAGCGAAGCTGTTCCCTGGGTCATGAGGGGCTGAATTTCACTGAGTTTCTCTTCCTTTTCTGTCTTCCTCTCCTTTCCCTCTTTCCTTCTCCTCTCTCTGTCTCTCT